AATGTAATCTTTCACAAAATTTGATTACATTAATATATAATTGAGTAAATGAGCTATAATTAACACAAATCGGCACATTCACAGACACATTTTTAGCTGTCCGAGTTGGCATCGAGCTTTTACGGACAAGTAATAACGATCTTTCGCTAAAAGCTTTAACGCGAGATTAAATCATAATGACTCGCATCTAAAAGCAAAGCCCGACCTTGCAAAATTGGCACTATAACTAGACAAAATGGCAAATTTTCGGTTTATATATTTACTGTTTGCGTTGTTTCTGTTATGTTTTCAGTTTATGAGTTTGCCAACAATAAATTGGTACGTATACGAAATGACTGCTCGATAAATCACTTTAGCACGAATGTCCGTGTAATTTCGTGTCTTTGAAGCACTGTTACGATTACTTTAAATATGAAAATAATTTCAAGCATCTATTATTTTTGTATTATTTTTCTTTTATAATACATCATATCAAATTTCCTTAAATTATTTTTTTTGAGATTACAAAAAATTTATCTCATACTGAAACCAGTGTAATTCAAATTTTTACACTGCAAATATATGAAAATCTGTATGATTTGTTCGTCAAAATTGATAAATATAATCGAGATATTTTTATTCGTATTATCTATACTTACGTAATAAAAAATCATTATCATATATTACCGTCATCACAAACAATTTATTAAGTGCACATACACTGCACATATAAATTAATTGCCTAACTAAAATTCAAGTTAATTCAGCTATACAAATAAATGCGATATTAAACAGCATAATCTACGAGCCCGTTCCAACTTCATATATTGATTTTAATGCGGCAGTTGCATGTCGTAAAAACGCTGCTCGCTTCAAATAGACAATGTGCCAGAATTTTACGCTGTTACGACACATTGCGTCATTGTTACGCCACATTTTCGTATAAAACCCGCTCTTTGCTTGTTCAAAAGTTCAGAGCATTCGCAAAGTCTCGACAGAACGTTTCGATCGCGTATCACAAAATTCCGTGTCTTTTCCCACAAAAATTAAGCTTCATTTGTACAATTCTACGTAATTTATATCGTAAATATCTCGCAATTACACCGATGCAAATTGTCTCTATATTGCACGATCTTTCGAATTAGATTATTAATTTTTATTACAATTTTAATTGATTGTCACTATATAATTCCTTGTCACATAATTTTTATGATAAACGGATCGATCTCTATAATTCACGTCGTCGCGACATTGTAAATATGTAGCGTAAATTGTCTTTGTGTAAATTGTTTTTTGTATCCTCAGGCTCGTCGTAATTTTACGAGGTGTTCGCGCGGGTGCGAATAGGAGAGGGGGAATGTGTACTCTGTTCTGGAGAATAGTGTTTGCGTACTTTATTATCAGATATACAGACATAAATCGATTAGCGAGTGGGTCATTTCACCAGGTCCTTACCATCCCGCGTGACTTTTACGCGACGACTTTTCTTTCCGATCATTCGCGGTTGCGGACATCTTGGCAGCCGACCCGTAAACACTTTTCCTCGCGATTATCGCGCAACCGTGTCTGACTACGCGCTGGCGCACTTCACTTACCGAAATCCAAAACCACCTTTCTCGAGTGACCGCAGGCCGTGGTCGTCACGACGGATTTCGTATCGGGGAAAGGCGCGGTCACTTGTCTTTTTTCTTTTCGTTTTTTAATCAACGAAATATAAAAAGAGATATCGCTTTTCTGTATACGGATGAAAACAAAAATACGAATCCTAATACTGCATTAAAAATATTACGTCGATTTATTCGCGCGCTTTCGTCGTCTTTCGTTCCCTTCCTGAAACTCTCTGACTGGCTCTAATAAAAGACCCGAACGGGTCAGTCTCTGGATCCATCGTGGTGGGAGCTTCGACAAGGAATCAAAATAGATTACCGGCCGGCGAGGTTTCCGGTTGGATTAAGACCAACTCGAGGCAACATTTCTTAACGAAACAGCTGGCACTTTTCAGATTTCAGTGAATTTCGCGACTTGGAAGAATTTCGCGTTACATAATACATATTATATAATAAAATTATATTACATAAATTATAATGATAATCATTTTCATTAAATTAATTAATCTACAATAAATCCATAACAATTTCAAATAAGTTGGAAAATAAAGTAACATTATTATTTTTATTCTATAAGGAATCCTGAAGAATATCTATAAGAATTTTTATTTCAATAGGTTGTTTTTAAAATCAATCTAAAATTTTCGTTAAATTACACATTATTGATACTTTAATAATTTTTGATAGAAAATAAAAGGCTCGTTGCATACTTTTAAACGAATACTTAAATGACGAAATTATTTTTTGTTATAAATATAAGTTTATGTTTATAATAAATTCAGTTTTTCAAAAAATTCAATTTCTTCAAACTTAATATTTTTAAATTGTTAAAGATATAATTGTCAATTTCAATTAATAATAATTCACACGTATTTCATATAATACAATTCGTCAACTGGTTTGGTGGTCACAATGAAAAACTCAAAATCTTGGCGCATACATCGACAGTTCATGTTGTCGCAATATAATTTGCATTACGCAGTTCCAAAAGTGATGAACTGAGTACGATGTTCCTCCGCTATCCTACTCGATCTCTATTTTTGTTCATCTAAATAAAGCCGAAAGTGGCCCAGTTTCTACGCAACAAGCGAAACAACGGCATGCAATCGCACGATATTTAATATTATTCTTCAGATATTTTAAGAGAGATCTAACGTTTCTCCTTTTTCCACATTGCGCCAGTTCACGTAGCGTTTCGCAATACACAATATATGTATAAACAAACGCGATAAACAAAATTTTATATATGTTATACCTGTTAAAAAACGTAAATAATTAACGGGCTCACGTTGAAAAAATTACATATACATTATATTATAGAATTCACAAAACACATACTCATTAGTCTCCATGAAGAATCGATGAAGTTTAGAGAAAATACATTCATTGGAAACCAAATTACTGAGACACTCGGCTTAAGCCTTGACGACAACTTATATTTGGGTCACTGAGATTTCAGGTTTTCTTAATGCAAAAGCAATGCCATCGGTGTAATAAACGTCTGGCGAAATGATGTACGGTACGAAGTATAATCTTACGGCGTCGCGAGAATGCCTTAAATGGATAGGACGACTCCGTCAACATCCCGGGAAAGAGCGCATTCGGGTACAGATGTGATTGCGTATTATCGATTCTGTAGTTTTTCAATTGTAAATTGTAAAGCATCAAATGTTACGATTGTAATCTCTTCTTTTTGAATTCTTTATACATTTATACTTTGTATTATTTAACTTTTTATACAATTTCACTTTTATCAAGCTCACGCATTTTGCAAGTATTTGTACCAATGTCAGTTTCACAGGCTGTTGCATTTTCTAAGTAGATACGTACGTACCGTCGCCGGTAAGGCAGATGGCTGAGGATAAACTCACTAACCACTGCGGTCTGACAATTACCTACCTCGACTACTTTAGCGGTTTTCCTTCGTTAACGCCGAACGATAATTCTGTTCTTAATAGATGTTATCCACTATAGTTTTGTATAGACAGTGAATATCATTTTAAATTTTAAATAAATGTTTTAAGTACTCGAATGTTCTCGATTGCTTATTTTTATATATTTTACATATTTATTTACAGCACACATTTTTGAATATTTTTTAAATAATTTTGAAACTTTTTGAGCTAATATGTTGTATATTACCAAATTTAATGTTACTAATTAATTTTGATTTTTATACATGGCTTTAAAATTTATTTATATTTATATAAAACACCGTATGACTCGAATAAATCATTAAACATCAAATCAAGATATTTAAATATATAATAATAATACTTAATATCAAATAAGACGTTTGAAGTTAATGAGAGTCAACGCAAGAAGGGGTGCACAAATTATTAAATCAGAAAAATTCACTTCACTCCATTTGATGTTTGATTCAATATTTCAGACCGTTATATTGGAGTTTAAATAGTCTTAACATATCATAAACATTTAGTCGTACATTGAATGGTATTACTTTTAAAGTACCATGTATAATAAAAATTAACATGTATAATTATTATATAAATTATTATTAATTAATATTACTTATGATATTAATATCACTCAAAAATTTAATGACATGTTTGGCGTCTGCCGAGAATCCACTTCAGTTTTGGTAACCTGTGAGTGATCCAATTTCGGTGGATTGCTAAACGAATTAATTAAGAAATGTAAATTTGAAGTTTGATTGATGAGGACTTCAAAAAGAGTTGAAACTTTTAAGAATTAAAAAAGACATCATATATCAAACAAAGTTAAGTGAATTTTCTAATTTAACAATTTTCGCTCCCTCCCGCACTGACTCTCATTAGCTTTGAACGTCTTTGTTATTATTATTTTAAAGATTAAGAGTTTATTCTATACATATATATATTTTTTAAATTTGAATATAAAAAATTAAAGATCTTATACAGTATAATAGTAGATTTTGTAAAAACATTTTGTAAAAATGAAAAATTCTTTTAAATTAATGTGATCGAAAAAAATAAATTTATTTGCATATTGAAAATTGTGGATTATCTTGTTGCAATAACATATCTGTCTTTCAAATTTTTAATTTTTTTTACATTTTAATATCTTCGCACAAACGTTTTTTGTAATCTTATTAAATAAAATTATAATATAGTATGATGTTTTCAAAAATATATGACCTCAATTTTTTAAATTGAATAAAATTGTAAATAAAATTAAAAATAAATTTTCAAGACGTTATTTTATACATAGAGATTATTTCTTAAAATCATAAAATTTCGTGTTACATTGCTATCAGTCAAAGTACCACAAACTTTACGCAAGTTTTATGCAGTAATAATTTGCGAATACAATAAAGAAAAAATTTCAGTTTAGCAATAGTCGCCAACATTATTTTATATGTAATGCAAACGGCTCTCTCTTTTTTTGTATGTGAGTATAAATATGGGCACTTACTTCGTCGCATGCAGCGCATCTTGGTTTAAGTTGTTCCGCATAATGCCTCTCGCAGAAAAGCATGTCGTCATGCACGCAATAAGCAAGATCGATCAGGAGTTCCTTACAATCCGCGCATCTAAAACACGTCGGGTGATAGAGGAGACCCAGTTTGCTCGCTGACACGGCGAGGTTGCCATATTTCAGGGACGATTCGCACACGTTGCACTCCTGAAAGAAAAACCTGGATATTAGAAACTTCTATGTTGTTGACACGGATTTGCTACTCAAAATTAATCTCAATAATAGTCTCATTAGTAGTCTCAATAGTAGTCTCAATAGTAGTCTCAATAGTAGTCTCAATAGTAATCTCAATAGTAGTCTACTAAGTTTTACTCCATTTTACAGAAAGATCTTATTTCTTGCAATTGTGGTGAACAATTCTTTTCTGTTGAAAATTTTATATCACATAAAACAGTACCGCGCAACTTTTTTTTAAAGATTATACTTTCAGAGGATTATTTTCAGGAATAGAAATAAAATCTTGCAAGTCATATAATGTTTATGTCATTTGCATAAAATAGAAAATATGATTTTTTATTTGTAGCTATAATTCGACGGACCGTAAAAATTTACAAGCAGATAGCATGTGGTTCGCAGACTACAAGTCTGTGCATCATTGTACCTATATAAGTTGTAAATTTTTTTAAACTCGTTTTCGATAGCCGGGTATTGTTTAAAAATTGATTGTGTTCAGCAGAAAAAGTAAACATTTTGTACTAATTTTTAGATCTAGAAAGGAATATAAGTTCTATCTCAATTCATATCTAAAAACATAGTCCAATCCGCTCTTATTAAATTGTTTTTTCTATTGAATACAACCAATGAGAGTCAAAAAAAAGATAGAAGAGAGTTGAATCACGAAGAGAAGCGCAAACATGCTAGATACTGTGAATAAACGTATTCGTTAATTCATTACAAATTAATATTTCGCTTTTCATAATCATGGAACTCCTTACAACATTAACTTTCCGAATTTTTTTATCTGCTATTGAAACTGAAAGTTCTATACTCACGAGGTTTCTTTCGAGAACTTCTTGTACGCTACCAATGTCCAGCGCGATCTCATTCCTAGCGGCCATGAAATCATCAGCGCTGCTGGCATGTTTGGGGTCCAAATGGCGACAATAGGCCCTTGCTAGATCCTGTTTAGGCAACTGGATCGCCAACTGACGATCTCTGTGCCGTTCACCAGGCGTGCCGAGTCTTGGTACAGCGATCTCTGGTAGCATCGAGAAATATTCTTCCACCTGCAAAAAACAATTCATCAGTTTTAATTACATAAGCTGTAATATATTTTTATACTTGTAAATTTTAATAAAATTTCTGTTGCAAATATGTAATTACTAATGAATATGTAATACAAATAAGTAACTTCACTTTTTTTCAGCTTCTGTATCATAATTTGCTTTCTGAACATCATGATATTTTTTCGTTGATCTTGTTTACGTTGATCTTGATGAAAGATGTGTGTAAACGATCTATGCGATACGGTCAATATCTAGCATTAAAAACAAGGTAAATGCATTACGGTACTGTGATCGGCCGCAAGTGGCCAAGATTCATAAAAAAAAAAAAAAAACGGGAAGAGCGTCCGTAATAAAACACACCGGCGGTGATAAAGACCAGTTCTAAGCTTTGCGGTGGGATTTTTTGAAAAATACTGAAGGCTGGCGGCACGCCAGGATTCTCGTCAGCCGTCAAACGTCTCGCACGTCTATTTCACTATGCACGCTTCGCTCCTACCTTTCTTCCGCCCACAATCACCCGTTATTATCCCATTCGCTTCGCGATATAAACTGCAAACGGTCGTTTAGGGAAACCACCTTTGTCAGCTGTGCGAACTCTGTCTGTGCACGAATAAACGTATTTTACGAAATTATAATTGCGATGGGCATAGTTATGTCTAATTAAAAAATATAATCTTGAAATTAAGGCAAATGAGATATATAATACAGTTGTAAGAGCGTGAAAAACGTATGTTCATTATTTCATGTAAAATTTACTTCTATTTATTCCAATCGAACATTTCGACACTCTTTGGAGTCATCCTCAGCATTAACAATATCTTCTAAGTAACTAATATTTTTCTCTCATTCTACAATAAGCGCAGTCGCTAAAGGACTGATTGATCCAAAGTAAAATGTAAGAATATCTATGTAATTGAGGTGTATAAAAATTCTAGAAATTAGATATGTGATTTACAACGAATATGTAAATACCTTTAAATTTTTATATAAAAAAGTAAATGACTTACCATTGTAGGATGAGAGATGTGACAAATTATCAATAAATATCCAAGGAATATCGCGTGTGCAGTCTTGTAATAATGAAAAAAACGTTGCCAATTATATTACGTAGTCAGAATAAATTAAAAAACATGTTGACACTGATAAAAAACATAGTCGGGACTGAACGGTAATTTACAAGTGTGTCCGGAGATAAATACATAAATTCTAATTATTTACACGTTGAAAGTCAAAGCTTTAAAATAACAATAAAAATACCAATCAATAACAATTACGGAATCATAAGTTATTTAGAATTGAGAGGTAAGCGTGATGTAGATACTCCGTGTCAGATTGTAAATTGATACTATTATCTTATGTTCGTATATCTCAGACACTAATCGTTTTCCTAAAAATTATTCCCGATCTAAAATTTTGATGTTCTCCCAATCAAATTAAAAATATATTAAAATAAAAATATTTGGAAAAGATAAAAATAAAACGGAGTGTGTGCTATGAGAACATTGAAGCAAATTGGAATCAAAATATTTAAACAATATTTCAAAAATAAATAAAAATTATTTGTTTAGCAGCAAAAGAAAAAAAAATGTCGTTTATGCTAGTTGTGATCTCTCTCTCTCTCTCTCTCTCTTCTATAAGTATTAATTTTTAAATATACAAATACTAATAATAAAATACGTTTTACTTTCATAGCGACCTCTGTTGATATTTCTCTCTTCATGTATATACCATATATGTATATATATATATATAGAAATTAATATATATATATATATATATTAATTTCTATAAAATTGATATAAAATTTATTTTTAATACAAATCGAAGCCTATCGAAGAGACAGTCTAATTGGATCTTAGTTGCTTATATAAAATTTCACGTGAATTTATATACTAATATATGTAGTCTTTCTAAACTGAACGCGCGGAACAATTGTCGGTTTTGAAACGCAACTCTACCTTATGCGACGGAAGTCCAGGAGGTGCCCAAGCGAGACCTCTTTCTCTGGGATCCACACCGATTGGTCCGTTCGACTCATCGCCCTTAAGTCCTAAACGAGATCTGACGGACACCCATTCTTCGTGGCAGACATCGTGGGCTTCGCGCGGACATTTGCAGCTAGTGCAGTTCTTTCTGAAAAAAAATATCATTATTAAGAATTAGATCTTGTATGCATCATCAAGACAAACCTAAACATAAACTCTAATTTAATTAGGAAGGAAAAAGATTGTCAAATATAAGATCTCGACTGAATTAAAACTTTTTTTTTATTAAATCTCTTTCGTCCAAGAAAAGTGGTTCTCTGATAAATATTTGTTGCGTGTTCTCTCTCTCTCTCTCTCTCTTCATTAACTCCAGACATGGCCCGATGTGATGAGGTACCCAATAAAGTTTTATTACCTTTATATATGTCACGCTTGTACGTCGATAATTACATAATTAAGCCGATTGCCAGCAATGTTTTTTTATTTTAGAATTTACACCCGCGAACTCGTTATATATATTTTCTTTTTAATTTTATAACAACGCGACGCTTTATTAGTTATTGCTGCATTAACTTTAAATGTTCAAGAATAGTTTCTTGCGACAATTATCATCATTCGCTAATTACTATCTTGTCACACTGTTGAATTAAATACTATTAATTGTCATGTTAATTAATTATGTCTACAATATTCATACTCGAAAAAAACAAAATTTTGCAGAAATATTAAAAAATTTACTCTTTAAACACTCTTTTAGAATGAATATTACTCTGAAGAACATCTATTGTAAAAAAAACTAAAGACATAAATTTGATAATAATGTCATTAGACTATCAAAAGTAGAATATTCAGACAGGTTATTAGAATGTCAGAAGATTTTGCAGCATTACTCATCATGCTTGAGTTTTCTACAAAATTAATTGTTTTGATGGTCCAGCCAGATTATTTAGATCTGTATTTACCTACTCTCTCAATTCTTCTATTTTTGGAGTGGAATTTTATTTTTAAAGATTGAAAATTGAAGCACTTTTTTCAAGATTGATTCAGTTTTTACTTTTTAAAGTGAAATTCCATTTCGTAAAGAATTTAGAGAGTAGGCAGATACAGATTTGAAAATAATTTTGCTTAACCATCAAATTAATTATATGTGAAATTCAAGCATGACAAATAAATGCTACAAAAAAATTTTTAACATTCTAATCAGTGCGTCCTACTTAATTATTTTGATAGTTTAACAAAATTATTTTCAGATCTTTTTCTAAATAAATTTTTAGATACGTCAGCAGAATCATTCTTTCCGTGCATGTACGTAACGCGTGGGTGCGACAGGAAATTTTTATTGGCGAAAAGAGCGCGCGAGAAGCCCCGGATCGATACCAGCACTACTGTATCGAACGGCGATCGTATAATCAAGGGATGCATTTGCGCCGGACGTTTATCACGGCTTTACCGCACCCTTCCGGATGTCAGTTCCAAGGTCGTCGAGACCCTTGCCACTAATATGAGAGAACCTTCTCTCGCAGCTATATCTATATTTTGTACCGATAGCAGCGAAATAAAGATTCAAATTATCATGTAGGCAAGAGTTTATTCTTTTCCTTCTTATTCTTGTGCTTTTTGTTTTCACTTTATAACTTATTGACGGAAAAAAAACCTTCATTGCAAATTAATATTTAGCACATTTAATAATAATTAATTCTTAGCCTTAATTATTCAAAATACAAATTTTTATTTATAGTTTTTATCATAATTATATTATCAATCTTAACGGGTTATTAGTTTCACTTTAAATGTGTGATATATTTTTATTTGTACGTATATGCTGTTATTTCAATTGTAAATAAGATTTATTTATAAGTTATCAATGTGCAATAACATTTTATTGTATTAATCTAATTTCTTTCGTAATTAATATTTCTTTTGGGATAATAAATTATATGATTTTTATATTTCCTACGATTCTCAATTATGTATTACACATACTATAACACAATAAAATAACATACATTAAAATTCCGCAAGTTTTCAACTATTTTTTATATTTTAATGTATTTTGTTATTAAACGTTTGATTTATAAAATATTCTTATTACATATAAACACAATAAGAATAATCTGCTTTATAATATAATAAATTCTCTTTTCATTATATATTTTATAACTTCCTGTTTAATATTTATTATAAAATTTTAAAATCAGTAAAGGACAAGAACATAAAAATGCAAGATGTCAAGGACACTTATTTCTCATTGTGAAAAAGGTCTCCGGGGTATCATCGGCGATTTCCGTAATGTCACGTTGATAATGTCAATCGTACAATCATCTTATTTGCTAACGAACCATAACTCGCGGTTTCACGAAGAATCCTGCGCTATAAAAAAAATTCTCGTAGATCTTAGAAGGCATCCGTTTATCCGTTTCCTCGATGACCTCATTACAGCCAAGCTTAATCTCAAGCTTAGTCTTGTCAAACGCGTTTCAATATTTTACGCAAGATTGGATGCAAATTAATGTTGACGCCTCGTTAATTCGGCGAACGCATTTAACGTTAGACTTGCACGTGGGTCGTAATTCATTTCAATTCACGTCGACGATCACTGTGCGCATATGCATTTGCCGCCGACATCGATCGCAAACACGTTCGAAATTTCTTTATTTTTAACTCTTACCTAGTTATGGCAAAAAAGTCAGATACGCTTGATGAGTCACAGATATAAGCAAAAAAAACATATATATATATATATATATAATTGACAATAAATTTTAGCAAACGGTAACTTTTTTGTAGGAGTTTACGCAGAACTACTTCTTATCTACATATCATTTTTAGAAATGCATTATTTACTTGCAATAATTTATCTTTTTCCAAGTGTCCAGTTTATTTTATGATTCAATAATCGAGACTTAAAAACATCAAAGAAGAATTTTATTTTGAATTTATATCTGATATTGAAATAGTACGAATTAATTTTATAAATGGGAGACGTGACGCACGAAATAAAATAATAAATTTTAAGATAGATTATTTTTTACAGAGGCGTAAAATATGTTGAGAACGCGCAAAGAAAAAACGCGAAAGAATAGAATGAAAACGCAAGCACATGCTATACTATCGATTTATGGTACATTAACGCGATTAAACAAGAAGAAAAAAGGAAGACGAAAAAGGTTTCTCGTGTTATAAAAGATCTGATGTTAAAGAAAAAAACTATTTCTGTAATACTATATTAGAGAATTATATGTAGAACTGACGTTAAAATCTTTTGCATCTTGTGTAATGATAAAAGAAGAAGCGAGAGAAGCTGCGTGCTTGATGAAATCTGGTTCGCGCAAGCAAACGTGGTAGCGTGAAAAATCAACTTCGTTAACCTACAAACGTAGTCCAACATAAATCATTCGGTTGGGTTTGGCTTGGCGCTGCTTGCCCGCCGTTTTCCATCGTAAAGCACTGGGGAAACTGTTAGAGGCTTCGCCTAATAGATACTAACGCAGCTAATTGTGTTCGTGGTATATTCACTGGGCTTTAGCGATATTCTAAAAGCTATGTTGATGAATCGGACCACGTAAGATCTTTCGTAAACAAATCCGGTTAGCAATTCCGAGTCAATGGAATTAAAAGCTTAATTTTAATTAAGATTCTTTTTAAAAAAAGCACTTTTATTTTCTTTTTAGAATATTAAGAAAGATCTTATTGCTAGAAGAATTTTCTAGATATGATTATAAACGTCACGTTTCAGTCCAATTTTATATTAATAATGTTTTTAGTCTTATGTGATAATTTTATAAATAATTTAATAAAAGAAAAAGTAAAGCTTTCCGAACATTGTAATCTGCAATATTTTTCTAACAATTTCTTTAATCGTCCCGGAATTGACAACAGATCTATTGGATTCATTCAATTATAAATGTTTTTATAAAAAATGTCAAATAATTTAATTTTCATAACATCTGTATAAACTTGGATTATTCTTATTAAGAATTTAGTATTCATTCTTTATGATATAAGTTATGTCATTTTTGTTTTTCGAAAATAATTAGTGCTTTTTAATTAACATATAAGTTAAATAGGTTTTAAAGATTCAGAGTCAATAACTATGTTATATTATAGTTTTGGTGTCAGCTTTAGAAAGTTAAGGTTCTCGGTCACTACGTATTTTCAGATTGATGACGTCAAACATAAGAAAACAAATAATGAAAATTCTCATAAAATAAAATAGAAATATTTTTTAATAAAACAATGTTTGCATTTAATAGAGTATTGTAAAATATGTAAATAATTGATAGAGTTTTGTAAAATATGTATATTGAACTCTTCATTTATTCCAAAACAGAATAAAATCTCAATTTGGCAGATCATATATGTATAACTCGTTTCATTTTCTAATAAGACATAATTCAGTTTCAAATATATAGTTATTTATTGATCACCGTATGGAAGAGAAAAATTTTTAGTACATTTTACAAATCTGTTCTGTCAATTGCAAATATCGATTTATTAAAAATACTCACATTTTAATATAATTTGCAAGAATTTTTTAAATGTATTTTTCTTGCTTCTAATATCATAATCCAAAGTAGCTATAGTGGATCGACAACAAGAGCCTTTAAATGCGAACAAATTTAAAATTTAGTACGTTGTGAAGATACAGAAAATTTTGTGAATGTAATAACATGTTAATAACATGAGGTAGATTCATAAATGTACACTCTTTTTATTTATACAAGCCATATTTATCAAATCAGGCATGTCATTATAGCCACCACATGCAATTACCTAACGATCAGCTCAAACAGCTCGAACTGGTCGAACACCTTGCAGTAGAGATGCAGCACTCGAACGCAGGCCCATTTCATACCGGGCCACGGTGCTAAGCTGAGATCCAGACCGTCCTCGAGAGGACACTTGCCAACCGCCAAACTCCGTTTGAGTTCCGCACCAGTGATAGTAGGATATCGATTTTTCCGGTCCAACATCGGGTTCCGTCTACGTGTTTGTAGTGGCTCTGCGGAATTGGACATAAGGCCTCGCTTAATCTCCGCGCCGGATAGAGTTGGATAACGGTCCCGCCGTTCCAAGGACGAAGTCTTCCGGTAGAAGTCTTTCTCCGAAACAGTTGGACACCTGGTCCGCAACGCGGTGGACTCGAGAAGAGGTGGGCTCATGGGCCGTTTTTTCGGTTCCGGTATACGGACGCGAATGTCCTGTGGTTCGGCGCCAGGCGTCGGCACACACGACACCCGCACCTCCATCTTTGGGCCCTCCTGGCTCCCGGGTCCCTTCGGACTCATCCTCGTCGGACCCTTTAAATTCGGCCCCGAAAGTAAAGTCGGCGTCGTGTGACGCCTCTGCAGTCGCTCGTTCAGGGTGCCGACTTGACAATCGGCATCATAGTTTTTGAATTTCCTTTTTCGTCGCTTTCATTTTCTTCATTGTTGTCGTCAAAATTACTAATTTCTTTCAAAACTGAGCTTATTTATTTTAGTCAATCAATTTAGATCCCCAAAATAAACAAGATAGTTTATAGTAGCACTAAAAGTATCATTTGGGAATAACTTTCAAAGATAATACTATTATTTTTAGTCCATTAATTAAATGTTGATAGTCATTAAAGTTATCTATTGTTAAAATTATTGGCGATGTACCCGAAAAAAAAAAAAACGAATCATTAGAAATAAAAAAATGTATTAAATCAATCCTAAACTTGGCAATATATTCTATAAGAGTTATATTCGTATATATTCTAGGTTTATTATTTCTAATTTAGCTGTAATATATGTTCTCAAAGTTTTTTAAAAATATTTAAAAAAGATTGTTAAATGAAATTTTTCAATTTATTTTTGGAAAATATAATTTAAGGTAAATAAAATATATTTTTGTATTTAAAATGATAAATATAAAATGTCAAGAAATTTAATAATTAATATAATGTTTAGTAAAAAAGACATATTTTATCTTTTTAAAAATATTTGTAGGCTAAACACTGATTAATAAGAAAATATTACAAGAATATTATAAGAAAAATTGAGTGGTAATAATATATGACATATGCAAACATAGCAAATCACTTGTAAAAGTGCAATGGAAAATGCGAGAATGTGGCCGCATTATTTGGATGCAGAATACATCGTAAGCTAAGAGAGTCAAGCATAAAAAATTAACAAATAAAAATCATTCAATTTTTTATCTATTTGATTTGTGACGGTGGGGAGTCCGATTAATGGGGATTCGCATACCTATATCAGATGCGTTTCGCGCAAGCTAATCTGGTTTATCTCTTCGCGTTAAACGAGAAGCGTGGACATTATAATGCAAATACCATGTCGGCGTCGTACATCGTAAGTGTAGTTTATAATTTAGGCAAATCGATATTCGTAGTTTATTTTACGATCGGCGATGAGTGGGTGTCGGCTGTCTTCGCGAAAATAATTGCAACGCTTCGCTATACGCAAGTCGTACTGGGGGGATGCACGACGGGTGAACGAAATACGGGCGCTCGCTCGCTCATACGCACATACATATCGTTGAATTTATTTTCATTGCGGAAATCGCCGCGATTCACACAGTCATCCGGTTATTTATAGTGTGAAAAGATCGTCGGCCCCCCGTCAGCTATAACGCATGGCGAAAAAGGATTCAGAGGAGCAGAGATCGAATCCTTCTCGACATTAAAGAAATCAAATCGTCAATCATGAAACTGACTGCTGACCAAGTTAATAAGCCGTTTATTTGACGTTTTGAGGGCAGCCTCGTTTGATCAGTTTCATCCTTTCACTCACTGTCTCTCTCTCTCTCTCTCTCTCTCTCTCTCTCTCTCTCTCTCTCTCTCTCTCTCTCT